TCTACATCCAACGTAGGACTTGAACTCACAACCCCGACATCAAGGGTCACAGACTCCTCCAACTGAGTCAGTCAGGCACCCCTCTTCCTCTTCCTATAAGGACACTGATCCCATCATGGGGGCTCCACCCTCATGACCTCACCTAATGACCTTGCAGTTCCCCACCTCCTAATACCATCACAATGGAGGTTAGAGTTTCCACATTTGCACTGGGGGGGGGGGGGGGGGCACAAACATTCAGTTCATAATACTACCAATAACAAATAAGTCCATACACACAGAGTTCAGCAGCTGGCCAAGTACATGCACATAAATCACTTCATTTGCACCTCATGATTGTTACAGGTGAGTTACCTAGTCTCCCTGTTTTACAGATGAGGAAGCTGAGTTGAGAAAGATTCAGTGATTTCCCCAAGGTCACACACCTAGTAAGTGGCAGCAGTGGAGTGCAAATTCAGGGCTTCTCATTTCAAATCCCGTGTTCTTTCAGCTGCAGCAGGAACCCGGCCATTCTGCCCCTGGTATGAACAACAGTGGTAACAAAGCAGAAACAAGAACTGATGTTTATTTCGAGCCAGTCTCTTTGAAAACATTATCTCCTAGGGTAGGTATTATTACTTTCTCTATTTTACATCCCTGAAAAAACTTACAATTGTCAGGTTTAAGCCACTTTTCCAGATCATACAGCTACTATGTGGCAGAACAAGTATTTGAACTGGGTCTGGCTGAATCTAGAGATTATGTTCTTAAAGCTTCTGCTCTTTGAAATGCTCTCTGGAAAAACTCTTTCCCATATTGCAGATGAGAAATGCTCTTTGGAAAATGCTCTTTGGTATGTAAGATGAAAATCTTCTGTCAGACATACTTATTGAGATCTCAGTAGAAATGGATTTCTTGCCCTTTTAGAAGCACTAGCATCCTACAATGTACTCTATTGAAAGCCCTATTTTCTAGGCACTGCAGATGGAGGACAGATGTTTCTTTATGCTCTGAAAGGTCCACTCTATGTAGCTGACCATAATGAGATTGTATCTTGTTCTGCATGTTTCCGAAAAATGGCATTGGACAGATTATTCCAAATGAAAGCCCAATCAAAGGAGTTACTGCATAGATTTGAGGAAAATAACAGGATGTTATTCAGTGGTGTGGGTGGGAACTTTTCATGTCAGAGGTCATTCTGAAGCACACACACATTTTGAGGTGTGTTCTACCCTCAGATTCAGCCTGAAGTCCGAGCACTACACATATGTCTGGTTGAGATTGATGTGTGTGTGTGTGGCGGGGGAGGGTCACAGGTTTGGGGACTGCTACTGGACTTGATTTCAGTATGATACAGAATTACAGGTAGAATGAAGTCCCTAAGGCCGTGGAGAGGGAGTGGAAACTTGGACTTAGGTATGACTATTCAGATAAAGATACTCTCTGTCAGTTACGTTGTTGCCTGGGTATATTTTAAAGGCCTATTTGGGAAGAATAGTTAGACCCCTAAGATAATATTTCACAGGCTTGTTGTATTATGGGATCATGATTGCAGCCCACAAGAAGGTTTTTAGGGCCAATACACCAATGTGCTTGCATTTTGGCCAAGCTGATTTCCAGGCGAGAAAGTCCATTGAATTCTATGGAGAATCATAGCAGACTGAAATTGGCCTTAGGATCACCTAGCTCAATGTCTTTCATTTTATTGAGGAGGAAACCAAAGTGGACCCGGAGAGGGTTAGTTACATTCTGGAGTCTAACTTAACACAGCTGAGAGAGCATTCCCCAAAGCCCTGATGGACAAAAGTTCAAGGTAGTGGTTGCAGATTTGATTGTGCTTTTGCATAGCATCTAAGAGCACAAACTCTGTGAAGTCAGATGTGCTGAAGCCGATTCCTTTGCTTACTAGCTCTGTGTGCTTTGGTAAGACATCTAACTTCCTTGAGCCTTAGTTTTCCTATCTGTAGAATGGGCACAAGATGTTCATGCTTTAATTTCACCATACCTATTATACCTTCAGGTAATGTACCCACAGTTCTACTCCCTCCTGCTATTTCTTTGCCCTCAAGCCTTTAATGATTCCTCTTCATTTTCATGGTCTGTCCACAAAGGTTCCCCCTTGTAGTTTCTGGCACATACACTCGCTGCTAGGCATTCTGGCTGACCCAGTGGCCCCATGACATAGTCTGCCAATGTCTGGCTTTCTGCCTTTTACTCATTCTCCCTCTGCAACATGCCGGGCACTCTTCTGGTGAAAGGGCATAAAAAAATGAGCAAGATGTGGTTTTGGTCATCAGTTTAGTGAGGAGGAAATCTATAAATAAGCTTCACTACATAGTTATTAAGAATAAAAGCACCTAACTCCAACTTTGGAGAAGGAAGGTGGTGAGGGAAGGTGTTGGAGACAAAATGATACTTCATCTTAGTCTTAAAGCATGAATGGAGGTTTGACCAATACACAGATAGATGATAGGTAGAGAGATGATAGATAATATTCCATATTTCTATGGAAGGAAGGAACTTCCGATTCAAAGAACAGCATGGACAAAGACATGGAAGTTTAGAAAGGCCTGGCAAAGAGGACTGCCATGCAGTTCCATATGGTGGGCTTGCTGGAATGCATGTGGGAAGTCCAGCACTGCCCAGAGGATTTGGATGCTGGCCAAAAAGCCACAAAAAAACATTGGGGTCAGGTCACATCACTGCTTTGTTAAGTCCCAAAGGGCCCCAAAGGGCAAGAACATTAACATTTGCACTGAGTCATATGCAAATGACAGTGTTTGCTGTACTGAGGCTGGGGGCACCTTCTATGCTGCGTGAGAGTGAAAAGTCAACACGGTTACATTTCTGTGACTGCCATTCTGGCCATGTGGCATTGGATTTCATTTTTTCAAGATTCTTCTATTTAGTTACAAGAGATAGGCCTTTTCCTTTAAATCACACTGCCTGGCTATGGGAGGGCAGGTAAGGATGTGACTGTGGTACGAAGGAGACTGCCCTGCTCTCGGCAGCGCCCTGAGTGGTGATGGGTAAGTCTTGTTACCAATGGACAACCCTGCATGCCATCCTTTGCACTGTGACTTGGCTACCTGATTGCCTCCAGGGAGATGTAGGTGCTGCCCAAGGGCCTGGCCTGTTTTTTCAGCCATCTCTGGTTTCTGGCCAGAAAAAAGAGGGAGGAAATAAAGGGCCCCAGTGCTCCTGGTGGGCCTCATTCTCCTTTTTCTGGACCAGCATCCTTTTCTCATTTGGAAGAGAGCATCGCCTTCACATGGCAGCCAGTTGGATGGGAAGATACTTATGGAAAATCTCAAAGCTGGGAGCTGAGACTTCCAGTGGATATGGATGCTGTCCACACCAGTTTTACAATCTAGTCAGGCACACGGACATTAAACAAATAGTAGTTACCAAAGTGACGGATACTTCAAAGTAGAGTGCCAGTTGCCATGAGAACGCACGACAGGGGAACCTGAACGGGGACCTGGTCAGGGAGGTACTACACTGAGGAAGTGACCATTTACCCCAAGAACTGGATGAACAGGAGTTAACTAGGCAAAGGGAGAAAGGAAGAAACTTCTAGGCAAAGAGAAATACATATGCGAGACTGAGGTGGGAAAGGGCAAGTTTTAAAAGATTTTCTACCACATTTGGAGGAAAAGTCATTAGAGCTAACCAGTAGTGAGCACCACCAGGGTCAGACAAGATGCTAAGCATTTTATACAACCTCATGGAATCCTCCTAAAACCGTATTGCCACGAGGGTGGGGCCCTGTCTGTCTCATCCCCGTCACCTGACTGTATCCTCAATACCTAAGGCAGCAGCTGGTTAGAAGCAAACACTTAATATCTGTAGGATAGAGTGTAAATTTTATAGAAGAGGAAACTGAGGCTAAGAGAGATAAGGCTATTCAAGTGTTACTGGTAGAGATGAGACTCCAATCCCACCTGAAGGGCGGAGCTGAGTGCCTTCCCAGCGGCTGGCACACAGTCTGGCTCTGTGTAGGGCAAAGATCTTGCTTTCTCTTCTTCTAGACACAAGAGAGCCCGAGTGTAGGGCTGGGCACCAGGGCACAGAGGAGGTGCACAGCACACAGCTCCAGGGCAGCTCACCATGTGTCAGGTGAGCCTGAAGGGCAGACAGTCTGCCATGGCAGCTGGCACCCAGTTGGATTTGTACCCTAAGTGCAGGGAGAAGCGGACATGTCTCAGTCCACCTAAGACTGGGGTGTGTGTCTCTCCCACTGGAAGCCTGTTTGCCGTTCAGACACTTAGACCCAGAGCCCCAAGCAACAGAAACCTGAGAACTGAAAACTTGGAGGCATCCATCAGCCCCAAGTCAAACTCTGGGCTCAATGTCAGCAGTGATGGATCAGCTTCAGATTGCAAGCTTTGGTGTTAAAGCCCAAGGGGGTCAAGAACCTCACGGGTCACCTTTTTACCTGCACAACCTCAGGACATTTCTCATTATTGGGATCTGTAACCTGAGCACGATGAAGGCCCTCTTGGGAATGTCCCATCTGCCCTGACCTAGATAGTTCCTCTTCATCATACACCCAGCTCTCCTGATGTGGAGGCATGGCAGAACAGCCCTGGAAAATAATCCCATCCTCCTCCACTTGCTATTATGCTTTAGGTTCTTTGGTGAGAAAAAGTCATAAAACTGAGTCATTTCAAAGGCTCAAAAATAAATGTATGATGTGCTCGAACTCTTAAGAAAATGACTTAACATCAGCCCACTCACTGAGCATTTTATGTAGATGAGAATATTAGAATTGCAGGCGCCCTAGAGAACACCTCAGTTCACCCTCCCATTAGGCTCAGTTAGGCCAGGCCCTTGAGCATGCTGACATATGCAGATCATGCTGGAAATGACATGGCAAGGGTAGATGCTGAATTCCAGAAGTCACAAGGACCCCATACTCTTTCCCCTGAGGAGCTGGCCTCTAGCATCCTGAGCACCACTAAATTCCCTGAGTCACGGCTCCCACTGCAAGAGATGCATGTTAATTTCCTGCAGGCCTTCTAGTCACGGGCTTAGCCCGGGCCTTTGCTGCTTATCCAAGGCAGCACCCAAGCCATCTGGCTCATTTCCAGCCTTGCAAAAAAATTCTCTATGGGCACTCTTTTCTAAGCTGGAGGAATTAGACTCACCACCAGAAGAAAAAGGGAAGAGGGCCAATTTCTTTCATCTTCTAGAAGAATAGAAAAACAACGAATGCGATTGCACAAAGTTATTTGGTAAGTCATGTTCCCTTCCTCAGCAGAGCTCCGTGGTGGATGGGGCACAGGCAGCATCCAAGAGCTGCAGTCCCACTGTGTGTATGGAGACAGCTGATCCGCGTGACTCACAGTGGGCCTGGCGTGCCACTTGCCTTAAAAGGCAGGCATTTTGAAGAAGCAAATGCCAAGGAAATCTGTGCTTCAAGGAGTGGGTTCTTCGCTTGGGTTCAGGCTTTTTCCATGCTTAGCAGCGCATTCAGCCAAAAGGCAAAGCTGGGGAGGGACACACCATCAGCTTGGGGTGAGGAACACAGCTTTTTATCTGGATCATGGCACGAATTCAGTAAGGGCAGCAGAACCCGCTCCTCCAAATGTCTAAATCAGCAGAATGAATTTAGAACGAATTTAGCCTGAACTGTGATTTGTAGTCTTTTTGCAAGTCTAAAATGCCTGCCAGCATTTCCCTATCATAAATCAGGACTCTCAGGGAGCTAAACTGCAGTTCTGTAGTAAAACCCAAACTCGTTTCGAGCCTCATCTGTACCTCGAAACGAAAACCAAAATGTTAACAACTCTTTTTTTTCTTTTTTTTAACAAGAGGAGGGTCTTTATCCAACATCTCCCACAGGATTCAAAATTCAGAATGGTACCATAGTTTAGGTTAGGACATTTAAATAAAAACTGCATTTTCAAAAAAAACCATCAAGTTTAAAAATACATTATCCCTTTGGATGAAATTTTGTATTTACACCAAAGGATGTTTAAAACTGTGTTTGTGCATATGTGTGTGTCTGTGTGCAGATTATCTTTTTCCCAGAATATTTAGAGTCTGCACATCATAAAGGGCAGAAAACCGTATGAGATGCCGAACTCCTCAGCTGTCCTCGCAACCCCATCACTTACTTGCCATAGGACCTTCACGGTGTGCACGATACAAGAAGTGGAGATTTAGTGCCACAGAGTCCCCAGTTCAAAACCTGGCTCTGCCACCAACCATACAGCCTCATATATGACATAATAAGTTGTTTGACTTGCCTGGACCGATTTCTTTTTCTATAAATGGAGATAATGCCTGCCTTAATATGTTTTAAGCCTTAAAGTTTACGAAGTCTCTGGCAGATGCTCAATAATGGTAACGCTTGAGGATGTCTCTTTCAGAGCCTCGTTTTCTTATGAGTGAAATGGGGACAGGAGCCTAAAGTGCTTTGTGTCCAGTAATGCACCGTGCACAGGAGGGACTGTTCTTGAGATGTAAGATGCAGCTGAAATGAATGCGGCTCGTTAGGGAATGCACAGGACTGGGGTTAGGGAGGAGGCCTGCATGCTAATCTTGGCACTTCCACTCTTGGGTTAAATATAGATTAGCTGTGCTTCTGAGAGCCAGCCGGCGCGAGTGCAGAGAGTATTCAACAGGGGGACATGCAGATAGGTGCCAGCTCCCTCTGACGGTGGGTCTGTGATCTTGAAAAAGCCAGTTAGGCTTTCCTCTACAGAAAAGTCTACATGGTTCCTTCCGATTGGAAAGTTCTAAAATTCTAGGATTGCATTCGGGAATGAGGGAGCAAATAAAATGGACAGGAAGTGACTCACTGGCTCAGGAGAGGACAAACTAGGACAGATATGGAGCAGGAGGAGGCACTGGGCTAAAAGCAATGGGAAGAGACCAGTGAGCTCTGAAAACCGGAGTCCTCTGTGAGTCTTCAAACTCCAAGGTGGGGAGAGAGGAGGTGGGGCTGCGGTTAAGTGTTCTTTACCTCCACCTCTGTAGAAATAGGCTTTGCAGACCTGTGAGTTGAATAGGATTCCTCTTCTGAACAGTCATGAGACCTTGGCAAATGTTACACTTTTCAAGTTGGTTTTCTCATCTGTAAAATAGGAATAGCACACCAAAAGGTTGTTGGCTGGATTGAGCCGGTGCACATGAACAAGCTCGTAGAGCACCTGGAGTGTGGCAGGTGTTCAGTAACATTACTGTTGTATTCCATTATGCTATTCCCCCTTCGGTGATGGGCACCAAGCTGAAGGATCAGGGACAAATGATTAGATTTTTATCTTTTCTCAATTTGAAATCATGAATGAGGCTCCTGATGGATCATTCTGCCCAGGTATCACAAGCCCGGTAAATTTTCCTCAAGCCTCTTCAAGCAGACTGAATCAATTCTCCCTTCACTTGGCTACTTCTTCAGCCTTTCCCTTTTCACAGATCAATTGCCGGATACTGGCTCTATTATGACAAGGGTTACAGAACTGTTCTCTTCCCTCCATAATGATCTAAGTAGTTTCTCTGGGAAGCACTACTGAGACACTAAGACAAGGATGGGAATCCCAGTACAGTTCAGGCAAAGACTAGAAGGAGGCTCCCCTCACAGGGGTGGCATTCGGTCTTCCTGGGGTTTAAATATTTGCCTGGGGCACTAATTTACATGGACCATCAAATGTCATTGAAATAATTAGAATTAGGGGACCAGTCAACTCAGGTTTCCATTTGTAATTCTTTAGGTTCACCAGCCTAAGGGATGCAAATTGGTCCTACTGCCATTCAGTATATTGAAGAAGTCTCTTATTTGGAATTTGAAATTGTGACAAGAAACCCCATTCTAGGAAGGAAGCATCTTGATAAGTGAAAGGGATTTATTTTGGTGAGTACAAGCTAAAACGTCATCCTTAGTATGACTTAATACTCTCAAAGATGGGATTTAGTAACGGGTGAGGATATGGAACTTGGGAGGACGTATTAGGAAAATGCTAAATAGCACAAGCAGAGAGGGGTGGGGAGGGAGAGGACGGGGGCCAGGAGAGGGGATATTTCTGTACTTCCAAGGGAACAAAGAGGTGAGCCCCAGTGGCTGGCTGGTCTGCTCCTGAGTCCCAGGAGAAGAGACTCAGAGCAGCAATGCTATGAGCAGACAGGTCTCATTTGCCCGATAGCTCCTGCCCCCAGCTGTCTCTAGCTCATTCTTGGGAGTTTTGTTTTGGGAGAAAGGAATAGACAGCTGAACCAAAAGTTCGTGATTTTTACTACTAGGAGACCAAGTCCCCTATCTTTACCAAATACATATTAAATAAATACTCAAAGCATATTTTTAAAGGGGGTGCCAAATTCTTACCTGCCCAGGGCACCCACATTTCTGGTCCTGGTGCCGGGTGCTACATGAGGCTTTCTGAGCACATCTCATTTGAAATGGAGTCACTGAGCTTCAATGGGGGCCATGGAATTCTCAAGATCTTGGGGGCTGCATTTGATCAAGGCAAGGCAAGGAGAAATGGAGTAACAGGGGAGGAAGTAGATGCTGGTCAACTTCTATTTGAAGTTATTTGATTTATTCTCATCTCAGCGGCAGAGGGAGGCAGAGAGTAAAAAATGGTGTGGGTCAAGCCCTACACAAACAATAGGCATGTGTAAAAAGGCATACAAAATTTAAGGTATTTATTATGAGAAAGAATTTGAAAAGCTTCTGAGTAGCACACAGGCAGTTCTCTAGAATCATTGGTATTTAGGAGGGAAGACTCATAATTCTAGTGTAGAGGATGATGAGACCACACAGGATGAAAAGAGGTTTGTTATTTAAAAAAGACTACGTATTTTTTAAAAATGACTTTTTTTTCTGATCCTCCTTTGGCTTACAGATCTGTTTTCTTCTGTAAACATGGGGCTTGAATTCAAGGTGCAACGCTGTGCCTTTGGAGAAACCGCTTTTCTCTAGACCTCAGAGAGGAGAGGGACTGAGCCTGCAGCTCTCAGGAGAAGGGGAGAGAGCCCACAAAGGCATGGGTGGGCGCAGCCTCTCCCGTGCCATCAGGCCTTCACTGCATTCTGGAAAAACCACTCTGTAGTGTGGAAGGGAATGCCAGAGAATGTGAAGCCACACTTCAGCATGCTTGGGGGGCCTGGTCAGTGCCCAGTAGGCTGTCAGCACAGGACCCCAGCGTCCCAAGGCTCCTAGCAGTCCCTGAATGCCTGCTGACGCCTTACATCACACACTGGCTTCCTCTCCTCCGTGTCTCTCCCATTCCTCAAGCGCTTCCAGGTGGGTGAATGCCTCCCTTGAAGTACTTCATTTCCAGGGAAAAATGTGGCCATCTGGTTTCAGCAGTCATTTTCCTTCATAATCTGGTTCAGTATATGTCGAGTTCTGTCTTCCAGCAGAGGAAAGACTTTTATCAGGCATCTAATGTGTTCCTGAAAGTGTGTGCGTAGGGTGGGTGGGCCGGGGGCGGCAGGTAGGAGTTTGAGAGAAAGAGAGACAGAAAGTCTTGTATCCAAAAGGTCAAACTATCATGTGCTTATTTTACCCAAAAATTCCATTTTTCCTCTTTTACTAAACCTCAAAATTTCACCTCGCAGTTCTCTACTTTTTATTTTTCTGGTCCACTGTTCAGCGTTAGTACTAAACTAACAGTAAATGGAGAAATGAGAGCTGAGAAGGGGAGACCTGGATTGCTTTGTGGGCATGGGTCCCCAAGGATGAGCACCATTGGAAAGAGGGACCTATTTAGGATTGTGACAGATTTCACCCCTCCCTGCCTCCTGCCCCAACATATTATATTCTAGAATCAATCCGGCTCTTTTCAGGGGCTTGTTATTTTGTGAGCGTTGTAGCATATTTTGAAAACTCCTACTCTTGTTAGGAGATTCACACGTAAATCTAAAATCCATCATCTGGTGAACAATATAACAGTACAGCTGCACAGGGACAAATTAGTACAGTGAACTTCTTCCAACATTTAATCTCTTTTTATTTGCCATTTGTTATAAAAACGGAATCTTTACTTTACACAAAAGCTACTTTAAAACAGGAAAGTTTACCAAAAACCACTGAATCTCAGGCAAAGGGATTCACCACCAAAATGCAGATTTACTACATGGTAAACCTGAGGGCCAAAAACATTCAACTCACAACATGATCTTATATTTTCTAATAATTCATTACCAGAAGCAAAACCCGAGCATGTATGTGTTTGAGAAAATACGTGACAAAGATAAAATAATAAATGCTAGCTTTCACCGTGAAGCTAACCTAAGCAAATGTTTCCACCCGAGATTGGCCCGTTATTTCACTCAGAGTGAAACATTTGAAGAGCTTTAAAAATATTTCAAACATAAATATTTAGGCTTATACACAACACATATGCACAAACATATCCATTCTAATTCTATGCCCCTTTGTATTTTTTTAAATTGCACC